AATCTTCTTTTTCTGTAGCCATAATCAACAATCACAAAAAAACTAAAATGCAAAAACAGCGGAAAATAGAAATAACACCATTTTCAGAATAAGACTGAAGACGTATTTATTTAGCCAATAACTCAGTAACAACAGAGTCAACAAAAGGTAGTGGAGAACGATGCAGAATTGAACCTCTAAGTCCTTCGAAATCACTATGAAGTGCTGTTAAAAACTGTATCAATCGTTACTGCTCTCTATGTTCAATATAAGCACCACATGCTTTTAATTCTGCCGATTCTGTAAAAGCCAATTAATCCCAAAGATCTATCATGGTAGAATAGAACTCTTGAATACTCATATTCTTCTGGTGAAGAGCTCGTATGTCATTCTCTAACTGGTATTGTTTTGCAAAATTTGATTGCGTGAATAACCGTTGCAAATGATCCCAAACCTCCTTTGTTGTCTCATACTTCGCCAACTGTGTACCTATAGAATGCTCAACAAAATTGTTGATCCAAGTAATAATCTTTGCATTGTTTGCTTCTCATGCATATATCGAAACAGTATCTCCTTCTTCAACATTCTTAGGTACCACATAAATTCTATTGACATATCCCCACATCTTACCCTTAAGAAAATTTCTCATTACATAGCTCCAATACGAATAGTTCTTCCCATCCAACCTCACACTCAGATTGAAGCGAATCATCTCTTTCAGTAGCCGTAATCAACAATCACAAAAAAACTAAAATGCAAAAACAGCGGAAAATCAAATACCAAATTGCAGAAACTGAACAGAGATTGCAGAAACTAAACAAATATCTTCTAAGAATTATATGATTACTCCAAAACACAAAATAAATTTGCAGAAACTGAATGCAAATACCAAATTGCAAAAGCTGAATGAAAGACAAAATACCAAAATAATTGCAGAAACTGACGAAATACCAAATTTTGTTGAAGTGGAAGACAATATCTCACTCCAAAAAGTTTTGTAAGCGGAAGACAAAGTTGGATCCGTGAAGTTGTGTTTGGGATTAAGTTTCCTTTCATAAAATCAGCTCTGATACCATATTAAAATAATTAAGATCAAACACAAAATAGAGGCTACAATTCTGAATAATCTGTGTATTATTAGTACTTAACCTTAACTTAAATACATATAAAGTATATATAGATTAAACTCAAAAATACTATTCTACCCTTAATAAATAAGATTACATAAATATTATTTAACAAATAAATCCCACTCCTGTTTTCTTACGGTAGATCTCGAAGAAACATTAATAGAGAACACTTTCATTACAGTATAGATTCAC